CGTGGTGGGACGTATGGGCTACAAGGAGCACAGGTCACAAAGGTGCAGGACTTCAAGGACTTGGGGTCCACTGTCCAGGGAAATGGAGAGTGTGGTGAAGAGGTGAAGAAGAGAGTCCAGGCAGGATGGAGAAAAGTTTCAGGAGTGATTTGTGACAAAAAGGTGTCAGCAAAGATCAAAGGAAAAGTTGACAAGACAGTGGTGAGACCAGCTATGATGTATGGTCTGGAGACAGAGACATGGACAAAAAGACACGAGACAGAACTGGAAGTAGCAGAAATGAAGATGTTGAGGTTCTTCTGAGGAGAGACAAGGATGGAGAAGATCAGGAATGAGATCATCAGAGGTACAGCACAACTGGGAGATAAAGTTAGAGAGGACACACTGAGATGGTTTGGACATGTCCAGATGAGAGACAGTGGTTTGGACATGTCCAGAGGAGGGACAGTGGTTTGGACATGTCTAGAGGATGGACAGTGGTTTGGACATGTCCAGAGGAGGGACAGTGGGTATACTGGTAGAAGGATGTTAGAAATGCAGCTGCCAGTAAAAAGACAAAGAGGAGATGTATGGATGCAGTTAGAGAGGACATGGAGGTAGCTGGAGTGAGGACAGAGGATGCAGAGGACAGAGTGAGACGGAGGAGGAGGACTAGCTGTGGCGACCCCTGAAGAGGGAAAAACCAAAAGAAGAAGAAGAAGAAGAAGATAGCAGGATTGTCCTGAAGAGCCAAACGTTTTGATTTATGGTTTGTTTAACTTCAGGATGAGAAAGATGCTGAGACACGTACAGAATAGTTTAAAGAAACCCTTAATAATAAATGTAACCAGGATCACAACAGTGTGAACGCTTCAAGAACGTTCACACCAATAAATGGTTTCCAGTAGTCGTCATGAGGTTGTGTGAATAGTCTGAAACCCCCGGCATTCCTTCGAGGACAGCTCAGTTTTCTGCTTTTAAGGACTTTAATTAGTTGCTTTCATTTCAGACTGAAGCCTTCAGGCCTGAAGGAGGTCCTGATGTAAACCAGGAGCTCAGGGTTCCACCTCCACAGAGTCTGACGACAAAGACGTGGACGTGTGTGATCTACGTTTGTCTCCAAACCAGGTTAAAACTATCAAATCACTTTTTATTGTTTCCATGAAGTAAAACACTTCGAGGAGTGCGCTGAGGGTTAATTATAGCTTGTCTTCTCCATCAGAGGCCGCATTTTTATGCAAACCTTTACGTAACTGCCCTCAGGTGTCACGCCTGTTTACATGAGGGTGGAGCCCAGGTGCGTCTTGAAGGTGCAGTTCTTCCAGTTGTTCGGGTTGGATCTGGGACTTTCTGCCTTTGTGTGGCGCGCCGGGGGCCGACGTCTCACAGCTGCAGGAATTTAAGCAGAGCAGATGGAAGGACAGCTCAGCACTCAGACGGTCAGAGACGAGGACGGACAACATGTTGTACCTGCTGGGAGTGAGTAAACTGCTGCTTCTGCTCGTTACATTTACCTTCAGCTCGTCTTCAGCTCGTCGACCCGAGCTGAACTAACTGCTGCGTCTCTGTTTCTCTGTGTTCAGATCGTGATCGGACTATTTCTCATCGTCATCTGCTTTTCAAAGGAACTCAGAGGGGTAAGAATCATTTCCTCCTTTCATCTGGGATAGAAAGTTACCTCGATGATGCTTTTGCTCGTATTTATACACATATCAGTGTGTCTGTTAGCAAAATATCTCACAAACCACTGATCGAATCTACAACTCATTCAGAGTCGGCCCAGTTAAAGATGGCTGCCACAACCAAATGATCTTTAAGAACACTAAAATGACTGAAACGGTCAATTTGACAAACATTTAGGCTAAATTTGGTGTGGTGGTAGCTGAGAGTCATCCTCGACACGCACTCTGAGCATAAACTCCCACAAATCACGACATCATGCCGAACATATTTTCTTTTAGCCTTCTTCACCCTTACCCTGAAACCCAGGTAGATAAATCTAACCAGGTGGAGTCAGGTCCTCTGGACGGATTCTCCTTTACTGAAACGTTTCGTCTTTTATCCAGAGGACTTCTTCAGTCTGAGGAGCTGCAACAAACTCAGTCTTATAAATAGCACCTTCTCATAGTGGACCATCCAGTTTGTTGTTGACATCAAGAACCAGCTGTTCACACGATAAAGGACCATCAGCCTAACGATGGATCGTTAGTGCCCTGATGGCCGCTTGCTATTCACAGAGCTGAGTGATGCTAGCAACAGCATTGTAAGAGGGGGACAGTTGGACACGGAGGCTCCGCCCCATTTAATGATGGACAAGTTCTCGTCACAAAGATGGCCTCCTTCACTCCTCTCAACCCTTTGTTCCTCTCTATCCAGGATGTGCACATCTTCATCCCTGAACGAGTGACCTCTGACCTGCAGATGAGTCTGAGGTCGACACTCATCTCCAGACCAGCGGCCTCTCTTTCAGGAATGAAGTTCATATCCTTGAAGATCCTTTCTCTTTGTGAAGAAAACCCATCCATCATTAAACAGGGGCGGAGCCTCCATGTCCAACTGTCCCCCTCTTACAATGCTGCTATTGCTAGCATCACTCAGCCCTCTGCGAATAGCAATAACGATCCATCATTAGGTTGATGGTCCTCCATCATGAACAGCTGGTTCTGGATGTCAACAACAAACTGGTTGATCCACCATGAGAAGATGATATTTATAAGACTGAGTTTGTTGCAGCTCCTCAGACTGAAGAAGCCCTTTGGATAAAAGACAAAATGTTTCAACAACAAGAATCCATCCTGAGGACCTGACTCCACCTGGTTGGGCTTCTTCACCCTTGTCCTTCGTTCAGACTTTGTTTTAAATTGTTTAGGAAATAAAAATAATATAAATTGTTGTTATGAGAAGTTCTCTTCGAGAGTGAAAGTAAAGTTTGATTATTGTTGCCCGCAGACTAAAAAACCTCCCAAGTGTCAACCTTCTGAGTCCAACTCCAACTGCAAGATGGTGAGTCCAAACCCCGCGTTCAGCGCTGAGATGAGTTCAGGTGGTTGTGGCCACAAATACCTGACGTTTGTGTCTTCAACAGAAGGATCTGAGCGAGGAGGACGTGCACCTGCTGGCCAAGATCCTTTCAGTCGGACTGGTGGACGCAGATCCCAACTACCTCCACCACCTCAAAGGCTACAGAGATCTACGAGGAGCCTGATCCCATCCGAAGAAAGAGAAGCTCAACCAGTGACTGATGGTCCCAAATTAAAGACGTTCCTGTGGATGTTTAAAGACCGTGCCGAGATCGGGTCGATCTCCTCCAGAAGTTCCACAGTCGGAGGAACGACAAACTCTTTGTTCAGGTCCACGACTCTTTGCCGGCTAAACTGGATCCTGACTGCGTCGTTCCTGTTTGCAATGGGAGAGTTTAGTTTGTTGACGACAGACGTTCAGATATGGAACACACAGCTGAGCTGACGTGTGCGTTCGAGGCTTTATCTTTATTTTCACGTTGGTGACACGTGACCAACATGTTTTGAAACATTAAACACCTGTTGCTCAGATACTTAATGAGTTTACGGACTTCGTGTTGGAGGCGTGGGTCCACAAGACTCTGGGTACGTTTCAAAAACGAGCTCCTACTTTTTGTTCACGCGTAAACGGAGACATTTAAAACTATATTTTAAAAGAGGAAATTAATTTAACAGAACCCAGTTGTTGGAGCTTGTTTGTGGACTGGAACGGTGCTGGTTTACTGAGATCCACTTCAACAACATTTATAAATTCTTCCGTACGTTTTTCAGCATCTTTCTCGTTCCAAAGTTTTTGTGCTATTTCAACAAATCTGTTTTCTTCTGCTCATTTTTAGCTTGTTCTACCGTTTCAGCTATCTTCTTAGCATTTTTAACTAATTTCAGCTGTTTTCAGATAAATTAATTTTTTGTGGTAATTTCTGTTAATTTTAGCCAAACTGATTTATTTATGCTAATTTCAGCTTGTTATGTTCCCTTCAGATTTTTTGTGCTTGTTGCAGCATTTTATGCTATTTCAGCTACTTTTATGCTAATTTAGCTAATTAATTTGAATGCAAATTTGAGCGTTTTCAGCTAATTCCATATGTATTTAGCTCATTTCAGCTCCACTTCCTTCTGGTAGTTTCAGCTTCTTTCTGCTGTTTCAGCTACTTTTCAGCTATTTTCAGTTTGTTTTAGCTAATTTCCTAATTTTTGTGCTAATTTCTGCTTATTTAAACCCAATTCAGCAAATATGTTTCTTTCTGGGGTTTTTTCTGCTAATTTAGGCTCGTTCTTCCATTTCAGCATTTGTTTTTAGCTAATTTCAGCTGTTTTTCCAGCAAGTTCTTCAGCAACGAGTGTTCACACTGCATTTTTGCAATTTCTCTAGTTTTTTCTTGTCATCATAACCTTTTGCTCCAAGGCTAAACTCATTTTAGGATTAAAGTCAGAGGTTGAGATTAGGGGCTGTGACTCTTGGAGTCAAAATTGTGAGAAAATTAGCAAATTTTCAGTTGGAGTCTTGCTGAGGTGACTGCAACCATCGAGCTGTGCAATCTGAGCAGACAATTTATTTAAATCACGACCAACTGCAAACAAAAATACTAGTTTGTTTAACGGTACTCTTGTCCACGCACATTATTTTGTCATCGCCCATCCTTGCCCACCAGCCCCACGTGGACTCGGTTTTAAATCAACATCCGGGTGTTTTTTTAGACCTCTGATGTTTTCTTAAAGCCCCATGCAGACGTCAAGGAGCAGCTCCAGAGGTCCTCAACTGGGTTGAAGGCATCGGCAACAAACCTGGGAATATTTTGAGATAGAATTTGCCACATAAGCTTTTTGTAATTCAGACAAAACTCAAGGGATAAAACTGCAAACCTCTATAAGTCATGAGGAAAAAAACAGAAACTCAAAGATTTTGAGACATTTGCAAAATGGAAATTTTTATACGAGGTGTGGAAGGAACGTTCAGAGTCGTACAGACGGGGACTAAACGTCTCAGGACGTTGTTGATGATCAGTCCTTTGCTTTGTTCTTTCCTGGAATAGAGACAAAAACCACAGAAATGTAAACAATAGAAATGCACAGAATGAAAATGAGAAAAACGCGCGGTGACTTTGCCTTACTCCAGACACGACTGTCGAGCTCCTCCCCGAGCAGGTAGAGTAAGGTCACCACCGACATGTTGAACAAGAAGAAGCCCATCAGACCAGCGGCGCTGAAATACCCCAGGAGGGGGTACACCCAGATTCCTACTGACAAATACACCCAGATTATCCTGAAAAAACACGTTCAGAAGACTCAGAGACAAGGCCACGAGATGAACCTGTACCATCTTGTCTCAAAGAAAAACGTGCCGGCATCACAAGTTGCCCTGTTTACATGAAACAGCAAATGAGCATCTGAGAATAAAATCTACAAAGTCCTGTGTGTTTGTGATTTTTACTGTCAAACATGGAAGGAGGCGAACGAGTTTACCCCCGAGCTGTTTGCACTTTATTAACATTTTGACTCAACATTCTGAAGTTGGGTTCTGTAAAAAACATATAATAATTAATATTTTACCTCTTGTAAAAACTCTTTGAACGCCCTCAGTTTGGAAAAACTGTTTATTCTGGAAGCACATGCACAAGCTAACGGCTAACGGCTAATCTGAATGCAGCTATAAGCTAAAAGTGCTAACATCTTAAAATAACTTCTCTAAGGTGATTTATGGAAATGCTTCTTTTGATTCCTTTACACCACAATCAGTTGGACATTATTGTTACTGACATTATATTTACACATAATTCAGATCAGTTCAAATCACGGCTAGCTAGCTTTAGCACTTCTGTTGCAGCATGGGGGCACTTTTTGCAGGGAGTTCATAACATTTCTGCAGAAATAACCATGCAATAAAAAACTGGCTGCAGTGTAAAGATTCAGAAGGAACAAACAACTTTTACATAAACTGACATATAATCTGTGGCTTTAAGATGATGTGGTTTGGAAGTGGGCTGCGTGGAATCATCACCATCAGCCTCTCTGAGACTTCAGTCTTACTTTATTTAAATATTAGCACCATCTGTTTTTCTTTATAGTTATTTTGGTAGAAATTATATAAAAAGACTGTCAGAAATGACCCCCGGCTCTGCGCATGTATTACTGTGTAATACTAAACTGACTGTAAAGATTTATAAAGTTGCATTCCCACAAATTGCTATGAAACTTTATTGATCTCATTTGGTTTTAGCTGCGTTTGGACTGTCAACAATTTAACTCTGAGGCCATAATTTGCAAACTATTTAAGTTGTTTCAGCCTTGTGTTCACACGAAAATGGTTTGAGGAGCCTTAAAAAACATAAGAGTATAACGTGCAGCGTCATTCTGTCAGGATCTGTATCTTTTGGTGGTTTCGGTACTTTGTGTTTTTGGTTTTAGTTCTCTTTGTTTATTCCTTTAGACGTTAACTTTTCGTATTTTTCCAAGGTGTTAAGATGTTTTTAGTGTTTCGTCACGTTTAGTACTTTTCCACAGTCTGCTCCTCCTGCTCCTCCCACTCGCACCTGTTTATCATTAGGCCCGAGCAGCAAAGCGCTGCGAAGGCCTATTGTAATTGTGCTGTTTATTAGGCCCGAGCAGCAAAGCGCTGCGAAGGCCTATTGTAATTGTGTCGTTTCTTATTAGGCCCGAGCAGCAAAGCGCTGCGAAGGCCTATTGTAATTGTGTCGTTTATTA